ACCCCATCCCCACCTCACCCCATCCCACCCCATTTCACCCACCAGACAGCCCTCCTCCCCGCCCCCAGCTTCTTGGAGATGTAGATGCCACCCCTCTTCCAAGTGGACGTAGTCTCTGGAAATCTTTCTTTGACTTCCGTGGAGTTTTAAAAGATATGTTCCTTGTCTACCTGGTTATCCACTTTTTTTTTCCCCCTCCTCTCCTTCCATTTCTCTTTTCTTCCTTTCTAAGCTTCATCTTCATGTACTTCTTCCTTTTTTCTCTTATTAAAAGGGATGGACAAAGCCTGCCAGTCCCTGTCCCCCCCCCCAAACCCCACTAGTGAAAGAAGAAGGAACGTATCTGTCCGGCAAGAAGTAATAGTTGTTAACCAACCTCCCTTCCTTCCTCTCTTCCCTCCCTTCCTCAGCTAAACAGGAAGACCACTTTGCCTCTTTCACTGTTACCTTTGAAAAGGACCAGGACCCATAGTGAAAGTTGTTGGGAGATGACAGCAGCAAGTTTTAGCTGTCCGGACTCCTCATGGTCCGTTTTTTACTAATGGTCCATTGGCGGGTGTTGGAAATAAGAAAGGAAGAGACAGGCAGGCGCTCTGACGGTGGAGAGGGTGGTTGGATTATGGGTGATGTGTCAGGTAACTGCAGCTGGTTTCTCTTCTCCCACAAGCACACCCATCTGAAAGCCCTGGAGCCATGTAGCAACCGTGGCCTTGAAAATGCTGCAGGTGTCAACAAAGTGAAAATCTATTTTTTTTTTTTTTTTTTTTAGTTTTATGCAGGTCTTGGGGCTTGAACTCATGGTTTCTTTCTACATGTGTCTTCTGCCTAGTTAGATCATGGTTGTGCACCACCACACTTGGCTTATTACTTGTTGAGAGAGAGCTTTGCTAATTATTTGCCTGGACTAGCCTCTAACCCTGATTGCCTTTCAATTAAGTTTGTTACTCACTTCACTTTTTTTAGTAAATAGTATCCCCATATTTTATTCAAAAATTTCAGATTTTCCATTAGAATTTGCTTTAGCTCTAATCTCATTGGAA